GTTCTCCCTCAGGGACCCTCCCCAGCCCATCATCTATGGCTTTCTGTCTCTCTGCCTCCACTCCAGGTTCTCCCAGCCCCCCAGCCTCTGCTCACCCAGGATGGGACATACAGACATGGAGGACTTAGATGGTCTCTCCACTCCCACGATCCCTCTCAGCTGTCCTTCAAGGCCAGGAATAAATGCTACCGCATCCAAGGGGCTTCTTCTAGTCCTGTTGGAAAGGACGACAGTGAACAAGAGGGATGTGCCTAGCCCTGTTCTATGCTTAACCCCCTGCATCTGCATTGTAGCCATGAGAGGTTGCAATTCTTCAGAGGAGCTAGTTGAGACCCAGAGAGCTTAAAGAAGTGACCAAGGAAACACGTGAGGGAAGCAGTGGGTCAGGCTCTCCCCCAGCCCTCGGATCCCTAGGGGTAGCTTCTTCGTGTGCGTATGAAGTGTGTCTCTTGCCTGTCCCTCCGGGCTTTGGAAGAATCACGAGTAGAGCTACTCAAATTTGAACTCTGACCCAACTAATTTTGTTCAAATGCTGACTGTGATTCAGTAGACTTAGGCTGGAGCCTGAAATTCAGCCTTTCTACAGAGCTCTGAGATGGTGCTGCGAAGTTGCTGTCTAAGGACCGCACTGAGTAGTGAAGCAGGAGTCCAGAGCAGGGTAGAAAGGTCCTGTGCTGCCATCACATCCTCAGCAAAGCTGGGCCTGTGGCAGATGGGTGCCTTCACTCACAGCCCTCACAGCAGGGTTGGGGGCCCTGCTGCCTCCTTTTCCCGGGCTGGACCGTGGAAGCTGCCAGCTGACCCTGACCCTGTTTCCCCCTGGGGCTCAGACAGGGTGACCCTGGGGAGCTGTCAGGTGGAGGCTGAATGCACCCTGTCTTAGGACACCCCAAAGCTCTGGCCTAGCTCCACCTCCCAGGAATGCTTAGACTCTTTCTGGAAACTACTTGAGTTACCGGTGCTACCGTTGCAGGAAATTCACAGAGAGCAGTCACTGCCCTCCTGCCCAGGAATAAAAGTGGAAAAGGTGTTGAGCTGGCAGGTGAACAGCCTGCAGCTGGTGAGGGTGCCTTTGGAGAGAAGTGACACATGCTCGGCCCCTCCCTCAACCAGGGGGACAGGAGCAGCTCCATCTTTTCCCCTAAAGTCAAGGAAGGTGTCAAGAAAACAGCTTAGAAGCTCACTGTGTGCCTCTGGAACGTGCAATGAGCTCACAGGAAGGGTGGCTGCCTCCGTGTGAGAAACAGTACAGTCAGAAGCTGTTTCCAATGGGGGCCAAGCACACCGACAGGCCAGGTGGAAAGGTCCCACCTCCGCCTCAGGAGTGCAGAGGTCAAAGGTGTGGTGCTTTGCGTGGTTCACTTGGTGGGGAGGGCATCTACCAAGGAGGTGGAGGGGAAGTTGGCCCCAGCAGAGGAGCAAGGAGCTGCCATAAGCAGCCAGTGGAAGCAGCCAGATGCCCTAACCCAAGAGCTGTCCCTAGTGTGGAAAGTTCCCTTAGCAAAGGACAGCCAGCTTTGCATGTGCTTGGCAGAGGGCAGAGAGTAGCACTTGTACAGCTGCACCACTCAGGTAAGATCTTTGTGCCCCACTCCTCCTACTTGGAGAAGTCACAGATGAAACAGGGAAACCAAGCTGGCCATGACTCTCTCTCCCACATGGTCACCACAGGGGGTGGAGAATTTTACACAGATGTGAGCTTGGCGGTAAGGGGCCAGTAGACTAGTCTCCTACTGCTCATAATACCAGGTGAACATCAATGGATTCAGCTTACTGTTTTATCCAAAGAATGAGACACAGTGAAGAGAAAGAGGGAATTCAATGGGAAGTAAGGAGACAGAATAAAGCAAATTTCTCCAGAATAAAGCTGACAGCCTAAAGAGAAGTGCTTGTTCTTTAAACAGCCTATGCATGTGGGAGCACAGAGGTGGAGTAGTTAGACCCAGGCCTGGCCCTTGAGGAGCCAATGAACTCTAAGATACACCTCTTAAGCTCTTTGTAGGGAACCTGGAGTGACATTATTCTAAATTCAAAACCATAAGGGAAGCTAGGGATCCTTAACACAAAAGATTTTAAAATAATTCGGGAAGGGTGCTAACGATTCTCTGAAGACTACCCAGGGTGTCCCTAGAAAACAACATACCCAGGGAGGGAATGCCCAGAGGTGAGCAAACATTGCCTGTATTCCCTTCCTGTGGGCATGGTCGTACGAGGGTTGCTTGCTAATACTGGGGTCCGTGAGATGGGGTACTGTGCTGTGCTTTCCCTCCTCCCAGGGCATCACACTCCATAAGTACATGACTCTCGGCTCAGAGAAAGTAAGCGCTTTGTACTTCACTGGAGCTGGTCTCTTCAAGCAATGCTCCAAGAAGTTTGTTTTCTCTAGCACCGCCAAAGAGCCCTGGCCAGAAGGTTAAGTGAGCTTCATTGAAAAGACACACTTTTCCTCCACAGGCTGATAAACAAGGCCTGTGCAGGGAAACCAACTTCCTCCCCCAGGCACTCAGTTGGAGGGGCCCATCCCTGGCCAAGGAAAACAAATGTATAAACATTTCAGAGATATATAGGAAGCATTTCTGCTGGAAGCCTGCTGTGAATGGCCGCTGAAGTTTACACAGCAAACCCCACTGGGACCTCGGCACAGCCTGGATAAAGTGGTCCTCATCTTTCTGTTTCCCTGCTGGCCAGGCTGGCTCTTCTTTGCCTCTCCTTGAAGAGTGGCAGTCAGTCCGCTGCTTGTGCCCAACCACAAGAACTCAAGACAAGCTCTGTGGCTGTCATCACTGAATGCCAGCCCCCTTCCCCCAACATGCTTGGCTCCCAGAGAGAAGGGAGCCAGTCCTGCAGCGGGACACAGCCTGTTACGGCATAAATATAGAATATCTCCCAGGATTCACGTACTGGGGGCATGACCCCCCATGCAGCGATGTTCAGAGGTGTGGCAGGTTGGAAGAAGCAGGTCATGGGGGACATGGCTTTGAAGGGTGTATCTTGTCCCCAGCCCCTTCCTCTCTGGCTTTTTCCCTGTTCTTCTGTTTCTGGCTGCCAAGTGGTAAGCAACTTTCTTCCACCATGCCCTCCTGCCACGATGTTCTGCCTCACTACAGGTTCAGGGACATGTTTGAATAGAAACCTGTGAAATTATCAGCTCAAAATCTTTCCTCCTTGAATTTGTTTTCCTACAGTATTTGTCACAGCTGTGCAACATTGAGTATAAACGCTCCTAGCATGGCTTGCATCCTAAGTTCCTGGTGCATATGGTGGCTTGAGAATGTGAGGACTCTCCTAGTCCTCTCTCTGGGCTGTGGCAGACACAGTAGAAATGTAGCCCTAGGCCCTGTGTGTGGAGGCCCCTCCGCAGGGGCCCCAAGTCACAGCCGAAAAGCTCACTGGGAAAGTGTCAGCCACAGGGGCAGTGACTGCTGCAGCTTTGCCATCTTCTTTGCTTCTCCCGTGGACACCCACACGACAAGAACTCCTGGGGACTAGTGCTCCTGCTTCCAGGCCCCTCTGCCCACCCTGTCCTTGGAACCAGAGCAGAGCAGCCCTGGACTCTGGTGTTTTGTCTTGTTTATCTTGGTTTCCTTTTTGTTGTACTGGGAATTGAATCCAGCAGCACCCTACCACTGAGCTGTATATCCCCTGCCCTTTGTATTTTCAGATGAGGTTGCTAAGTTTCTCAGGCTGGCCTTAAACTTGCAATCCTCCTTCCTTAGCCTCCTGAGTAGCTGGAACTACAGGCATGGACTCTGGCTTTTACACAAAGACATAATTACTCTTCCCTTTCTCTCTCCTCACCTTCCCTATCTCTCTTCATCTACTTCTTTGCCAGCTTCCAATTGCGTTACTGCATTTTCTCCTGTTCCTTTGTATAAGTGAGCCGAATAAATGAGGCTCAGACTGCTGATCATAAAGCTTTTTCCCATTCCAACCTCCTCTTTCTTCACTCTGGGACATGAAGGTCTCCAAAGATCTGCCCACCCACATTTTCAGTCAATTCTCTCCCGCACATACCCCCTACCACCCACAGAGTGAGGCAAACCCAGTTTTCTGCATGTCTCTGTCCTGTTAACCTCTCTGACCAAGGCAGCCCTCCTGGAGGGCTCTTCTCATCATCAGCCAAGCCCACCCCATCCTCATGGGGCCCCATAAGCAATCCAGATCTGCCCTTAGACAGGCTATGCGGAGTCAGTAGACCCCAGATGCACAGCTTATGAGGTAGGCTGGTGTAGTAGACCTATGCTGGCTGAGAGAGAGAGAGGCCAGGGAACCAGGGACAGAAGTCACTACCCGTCTGCAGAGCTCCCAGCTAGGAACTGTCCTTGCCTGCAGCTGTCCTGGCTCTGGGGCCCTCCA